CATGGATCGTTCACCAGCTTCAATCTTCGTAGTGTTTAGTATTGAACTTAAGGCGTTTGTCATGGCTTATTGATTATTATTCAATGCATTTTTCGAAATGATAACGAGCTGCATTTCTCAATCTGTTAAGGAGAGACTGAGCTGTAAGAGCACCTGCTTGTAGGATTGTGATTGGGCGTGATATAAATAATGATTCATTCGATGTGTCTATCCAACTATCCAGAATTTACAGAACTCTGCAGAGTTTCTCCTAGCCTCCCAAAATAGACACTTTTCATGTTTTTCCCAATTATAAGAAGTATAATAAGGCGTGTAACTATGGGCGATGTTGTTGAATTTTCTTATGCACTGAAAGGAAATTGATCTCACTGTGTAATCCCCTACGGTGACCTCAATATATGAATGTCGCTCGCAGTCATGAATCTATTATAAAACGTCAAAAATTTCGATTTTTCCTTATTCTGCCTTATTTCTACAATAATTGAATATTTTTTTGCAGAAAATGTACCGGAGACAGAAATATGGTATTTGTAGTTGTCATGGCACAAACACAGGGTTTAGTTTGAAACATGTAAGGAAGAAATCCAAGGATATGTGAAGGTATGAACTTCGATATAATATAATGTTCGATATAATTTAATGTAATGTTGCTATACCAGTTTCTCCACTTACTTAAATTTAAATTTGCATAAATCTTTTTTTAGAAAAATTACATTCTGGCATCCAAGGAAAGGATCAGTTTTCAACTCTAATTATATAATGGACTCAAGAAGATTCCAGAGAAATGTAAGCGTCGCATAAAATAATACAATTATCAACTTCACAAACATGAATATGGATGTTAGTTTCTTAGCACTTTATCAGGGTGTCCAGCGAAAAGTTTTTTGGAATTCCCTGACTTTTCCAGGTTTTCCAGACCTTTTGATCACTTTTGTGAGACCAAATGTTGAACTAATAGACTTATTCGAGTATTATAACCAATTAATATTCTGGGTTTATCAAACAAATTTTTTTTATTGCGACGAACAACTAATCCTTCAAGGATATTTGACTAGTGCATATTGTACTTGTAACGCATTAAGGGGAGACCCTACTAAAACTTAAAAGTCCCACAATTTAATAGAGCTTTTCTTGCCATGTTTTTAAAATTTAAACTGGTGTGTTTCACCACAGTGACTTTTTTTGGTTGAAATTTTGACGGATTTCTCAGGTCAGGAAACAATCGAATCAGGACAAACGTCCGTGCCTTTTCGGACTATTATTTTGCCTGATATTACGCGTCAATCAATCAAATCACAAAATCATGAAAAATAAAAAAATTAAAATCCCGCCAAAAGCGATTTGACCTATTTCCACATTCACTGAAGAAAATGGTCGCATTGCTTTTGGGAGGAATTTAGATATTTTAATTTTTCGTGATTTTATAATTTCATTTATTTACGCGTGATATCAGGTAAAATAACAGTCCGATCGAAAAAAGGATCCTTACTTCTCTTCGTATTGGTGTACCAACGATTGTGTCAAAATTTGAACGAGATTCGTCCAGTGCTTGCAGCACAGGACTTTTTTGAAGTAAAAACCCGGGTTTTTCGTGTTTTTTACATTTTCCCGTCACCCGAGAAAGTCCTAAGGCGTGTCAATTTTCGTTTTTTCGAGTAAGTATACGGATGGAAACCCATCCATGGGCCTAATTTTCAATTGTGGCCCTTTTAAGTTTCAGTAGGGTCTTCCCTTAAATTATTTGTGCGATATAACAGATGATTCAACGATAGGAATAGTGAACTCGTCGTGGTATGTGAAATAAGCTATATTTTCTCATGTCGTTCATCTCATCCTCCAAAAACCAAATTTTAATTACAAAATTCCAGAAAATTTTAGAAATTCCCTGACTTATCCATGACGTTTCCAGAGCGTTCAAATTCCCTGACATTTCCAGGTTTTCCACATTTCCCTGACCACTGCACATCCTGTTTATTCACTCTAAGATGACCCGATTCTAGTTCGTTAATTATGTACTTAAGACGTGACACATGCTCGATCTACATGGATTTATGTGTTTTCTGCATTGTTAATGAGCAATCAATGCCGAGGGACAGATTCAAGCAACATTTGCCTAACAGTGAAGTTATGAATATGAAAAATTCTATCCATCTTTTATGGCTATATTCGTTGTCAGTTTGTTAGAATTTTAATTAGTTTCACTGCGTGATCCAACTATTGACTTGAATAATTACTTTAATTTATTTATTTAATAATTTTATTTATTTATTATTGAGTTAAATATACAATTACAACTTATGGAACTTACCATACGAATCAAAATGGAAATCTAATTTTTTGTGAGGTAAGAAGAGTTTACATAAACAATCGAATTTCTATACGTTGCAAAATGTAATTATGAATACGTTGAGAATTCGATTTCTAATCAAAAATGTTTTTATTCTTACAAAAAAAAGATTTGACTGTTATGTTACCATCATCTCTTATATCATAAAACAGGTTTCATCATTATTTTCATGTATCGGCAAAGTAGAGCATAAGCCCATTTTTGTTTTGCTTAATTATTCATTTACTACTTCTTGAAATTGTTTAGTGATATTTTCAGTTTAAAAAAGATTAAGGCATTTNAAAACAGGTTTCATCATTATTTTCATGTATCGGCAAAGTAGAGCATAAGCCCATTTTTGTTTTGCTTAATTATTCATTTACTACTTCTTGAAATTGTTTAGTGATATTTTCAGTTTAAAAACGATTAAGGCATTTTAAGAAATATAAAAATTCCCCCATTGTTGTCCCTTGTTCTGAAGGTAAGCATTTTTTGTATAACCTGGAAGAAAGATAAACAACAATAGAGGAAAATTAATTGCACATGATTCATTACGGGACTCGAAGTAATCGGTCATTCATAACCCACGAGATTTTATTTACCGAATATAGAACTCAATTTGGAAAACACGAAATTTGACAGATTCATTTGGATTTCATAATCCATAGTTGTAATTTTTTCATAGCTGCACTGTCAAACGCCACATCTTTTAGTGAAGTGAATTATTCATCATGAAATCACTTTTATACGTTGATGTGCAAGTATAATGGTAGAATATGAATCATGGGAATGAATTGATGTACATCTCGGCAGGTGTTGTATTTTTAACTAACGTGAGTTCGTTTGTCAATACAGGTCGAAACTCAAACATTATCATCCAGTTGTGATTACTGACGTGACTACACGAGTATATTTCACATAAAAAAGTATAATGTATAAATTCTTGCATTTTTAATTTTCAGGTCTACATTCCTCGAAAATGGGCCGCATAGCAAACGTCTCTCAGGAAGAGGTTATCGTGTTAATCGAGAAATAAATCGACCGTTTCTCATCCAACGATTTTCCAGCCCATTCAGATCCTATATGGCACAAAATGAGTTGCGACATGGATGGTCGTCTCATTCCTCGTTCAATTTATACACACGTAAGATATGATAAGCGAGGGGACGTGAGTCAAGCCCGAAGGAATCAGGGTATATCAGTAGCCCCAAAAGCCAAACTTCTACTCATTGACGCTCAGGCAGATTCTGATGGTGAACAGTTCGAAGATGTCGCCGAAGACTACGTACCTGATACTTCTAATGTTGAAAACCAAGTGGACTTTGAAACTTTCCATCTTCAACTGTCTAGAGAAGAATGGGAATTAATCAAACCCGACGACACTAAGAGCAAAACAAGACTGAAAAAGGAAACTTGGGCTTCAGTTATAACTGGCGCTTTCTACAAAAAATACGCTTTCAACTGTGCATTCCTTGCGAAATACTCTTACGTACGTTCAAATCCGAACTCACAGAAGGATAAACCGTATTTAAAATTTGAAGCCTACTGTAAAGACGAGGAGAATTGTCGAAACATTTTGATCGGTACCTCGGATAAAGAACCTGACGAGAGAGGCTTGCAACTGACAATCAAAACCCGTGACACACGCCGAGACTACCACGTTGAAGTCACGAGACCCGTGAGGGGCCTCGAAAGAGAACAGGTTGGGAAGAGACTGGAGACACAGACTGCGAGTAATTATCGAGAAGAACTATTGAGGAATGATATGAAATGCGGGGGGAATATTCCACCTCATGTTCAAGAGAATTATATCTACAGGCAGATCAGAATGGAAGGAGAAAAAAAAAGAACTGGCTTGCCGAAAAATGAAAAAATTGATGTTATTAAATGTCTACAGAAAATGGTTACAGATCCTCTGTTTCCTAACGCGATACACAATATAGGATGCTCAAAATTTTTCATCTTCTATTGGACGCCTGATCAAGTGAAAGTTTTCAACGAGTATGTTCGATTATTGGGAAAATTGTCAGCCATTTCAATAGATGCCTCGGGAAAATTTATCAAAAGTTTTGAAATTTGTCCAGGGAGAATGACTGGACATGCTTATTTATATACTATTACAATCAAATTTGAGGGAAAGACCATCTGTGTTTGTCAAATGGTAACAGAAATACACACTGAAGCTTTCACAGAACTTTGGCTGAGATCATGGAGAGAGTCAGGTGCCAAAGCACCCGGTGAGGTGTGGAGCGATTATCAGCGTGCCATACCTATGGCTTCGTGTGTTACGTTTAATGAGCTCACATTGAAAGACTACGTTGACGCACTTTTTACTTGGGCTTGGAATGGAAAAATACAACCTTTGGGAATCAGGACGCTTATCCGAATTGATGTAGCTCATGTAATGGGGTTCGTGTTCAAATGGAAATCGCTGAAGGACAAAGATCACCCCTATATCAAACAGTTTTACCTTCATTATGTTGCTCTGCTAGTGGACACTCGTAGCGTAGAGGAATTTCGGAGGATTTTCCTTTGGATATGGATCGTAGAGTTACAACCTTACGATGACGCAATGATTTCAACGCCAATGATTACATTGAGGGTAAAAGACGCTAAGAAAAAATTAGAAGAGCAGATCAGTGATAAAAAAAAAATTATCAAAGATTTGGAGGCTTCCATGACCACGTACCTGGAAGAAAATGAGAATGAACCCAAACCCTTTGAAGAGGGTACAAGTGAAACATCCACTCATCAATGGATTAAGGAACTTATGGATGTAGGCGGAACATCAAGTTTGTCAGGAGGGTCTGTTAATGCATTTTATTTACCAGGGTTCGTGAAGGATTTAGAACGTCTGGCCAAAGAATTTCCACTTTGGACAGCTGCAGCACTCCCGGTCTANCGAACGTCTGGCCAAAGAGTTTCCACTTTGGACAGCTACAGCACTCCCGGTCTACGCAGGTGATAGGCATGCATCAACCAGCCACCAGGAAGGGTACTTTGCTTACTTGCGAAGACACGTCTTCCAACACACACGATTGCCCTGTTCTGGGAACAGATTTGTGCTGGAGCATTGCCAAAGTCTTTCTAGTGGTGCCAACTTATTATCTGCTAAATTAACACATTTTGGCCATAAATATGGACCACTTTCAGATTCTGTTGTAGGTAAAAGAGGCACCAAACGACAAAATGATTTTTCAAAACCTCCGCCAAAAAAGAAACACGTTGATGATTCAGATTTCTTGAGTTATGAAAACTGGCGAGGACTTGGAAACGATCGTGATTTCGCCGTTAACAGTGATACCTCCGATCATGAGTTAACTGAGAGTGATGATAAGCCGGAAGTTTCTTGTCGTCTAGATACAGGAAATATTCTATCGGACTTTTTAGACTTCGCAGCAGAGACCGGACGGCGTGCCACGAAAGAAAAACAAATGGATAGTTCCTCTCAAGACATCATAAGCAAAGTAGCGAACTACAAAGTGGTAGGTGAAGGCAAAGAGTATCATAAAAGCGACTACGACAAACTTTCAGAGTATCTGACTAATGAAACAAAGAATTCAATGAAATGCCCCGTCAACACCAAAATCAGCTGATTTGCTCGATGCTTAACCGAATTTTACCAGTTCACCACACTTGGACCATTCTTATGGTAGGACTCTACATTTCGAAAGTCATCACAAGCCGACATATGTTGAAAAGTCGAATGTATTTCCAAAGTTCAAATTTGAGAGGGATGATGACAGCACAACCGACGAGAGCATTGATTTATGTGGCAATTCTATTCCCCGTGATAGTAATACGCCAAGTGGTTCTTCCAAGATTGAAGAAAATGTTGAAAGTTGTAATAAATTTGATGAATCGGATCACGACGGCATCATTATATTGGACGAAGAGGGTGATACTAGGCAGGAAATTAGAGTTGCTGATAGGAAAAAGAAAGAAATGGAAATACTCAAAGTGAAGGCAAAAGGTTTTTATTTTCAGAACCATCCGGAAACGGCGATATTAAATGAGAAGAAAGTATCAAAAAAGAAAGGATCTTTACTGCTCAATGGTATCAAGTGCAACTGGATCCAAATAAAATATGACTACCCATGGAATTTTAAGACCGAAGAGGCTCAACCTGAAAGGAAACTGAGAACTGGGATCAAAGTTAGTGTCACCATGACCTGTGGTTTTGATGCACTTGTACACATAATACAGTTCTCCGCTTTAGACAGTCCTTATCGCGGCTTTATGGAGCAATCTGACAATCCTTTACTGCTATTTACGTCAAATTTTTGTAAAAGTGGACTCACGAAGGAAATTTTATTTGAACGTTTGAAGACTCTCAACCAATTTTATTTTATTGGAAAAGACGCGAGTAACACTTCCATACATCCATACATTCTCGATGCTGAGGATTTTATCGCAAGGGTATGGAGTAATTATTTTTCTGACGAGCCTAGTGGATTTAGAACCTATAATTGCAGTGTTTCGGACTGTTCCGGTAAAAAGATCGACGAACTACTACTCCTCGCTGTAAATGAAAAGCTGATACGACGACAGGGCTATGGATGCTTACGGAAAGCCTTACTCTATCACAGCCAAATATCCAACATTAAATGTCGAGAACCAGAATGCAATGGAACCGTGACCGAAAATACTGAATTGAATATTCATATCTGCATTGAATTAGATGTGAGAGTTGCCATTGATTCAAAGACAGCAATTAAGGGTTTTCTGAGTGATTTTCCAGTATCCCTTGAATTAGACAGAAAGTATCGGTAAGTGATTTCGATATGAGAGTAATATACTGACTATTGAAATATTAATTTTGTCATTGTTATTCTCAGACTCGCTGGTATAGTTGATTACCAGTTAGGCCATTTTATCGCTTACTGTATCAGATCAGGCGGGACTTGGCTACAGTGCAACGATATGCAGAAGAAAATTACATCCGTTAATAATCCTAAAGAGACCTCTGGATTCCCCCACATTGCAATTTACGTACTGGAATAATTAACTTCTCCAACTGTGAAGATTTGCATGTTTCTAGATGTAGTTAGTACTTAGTGTTAGGCATTTTATGGTATTTGAGGGCGATGGGGAGTTGGAGAGGTGTCTGAGGACTGGTGGTGATGTTGTTGACATGCTTTGGGGGGGAGAAACCACGTGGATTTGACAGCTGTCAGAGGGCCCATCCCACTGAAGACACTGGGGATATGGAGGATTTGGGGATTCAAGGGGATTTTGTGGCGATATTAGAGATGTTGGAAGAGGTTTTCGAGAGAATTGGGGGCAGGGAGGAGATCAGGGATAGTTTAGAGACATCTTCTACTGGGGATTTTGGGGATTCTCTGGGTTCAGGGATGGTTTTGCTGGGTCTGGAGAGAAGGAGGAGATTGTGCTGAGGGAATCACATCCAGACCCTGGTGCTGGGACTGAAAGTAGGATTCAGCGGCAGGTTGTTTCTACATGTATAAAGTGATATTTGTTATTTCTATATAGATTTTATAGAGAAAAATTAATGATGTCAAGTTGAGCGCAAGATGATTGATTCATATTATTCGATTTTATCAAATGTTTAGACAAAATATTATTCTATTGTGCACATATATAGTTCTCCGCTGTATTTAAATTATATTGGTGTCCATTATGAGATGAGAGTTCGAGTCTGTTCCTCTCCTCGGCTCCAACTGTATTTTTTTATAAAATAAAAAAACAGCTTCCAATCAAAACATTTTGACGTACATAAAATCCTAATTGATTTCACATCTATTCCCTGATCCGTCCTGTTTGCGCTACATATAAACCTTATATTTTTATTAGTTTCCATGTCAGATAATCCTGGAAAAATTATCTTACTCAAATAATTCTAACAAAATTTCCTGATGGATGTCAAAACCCTAAATATGAAAATTAGACAATTTAAAAATTTAGAATGATGTACCGCAGGATATTTTTACCAGGATGAAATAGTCTCGGGATTAATTTGGTCAGGATATTTTTATTCAGGATCAATTTTCCCAGGATTATCTGACGTGACACCTTTGTGATACAATTGAGATTATCTGTAGAAAATGTCATTAGACTTCAAAGTACTTCCTCAGCGTTAATAAAGAAAGATATACAGAACTGCGGTATTCGCTTAAAGCATAAAATTTGATTTACATGTTGTTGAGAATATTTAAAAACTATTCTCAAAATTTGAAGTACTGTCAACCACGTGATTTTTTTTTCGAGAAACAATCTCAAACATTCAAATTATCGTGTCTTTTCGATTTTTGATGGCTTGAGACCAGATTTCCCGAGTTCCACACGCCGAGTCGGACAAACAATTGAAATAGCAATATTCAAATTAATCCATTAGCTTGAATGTGCAATGGATAAGATAACCTACTCTTAGAATTTTTCATAAATAGCACAGTGCAAACTTTCTTCAATATACTTGTTTAAAATGTATATGCTACAATATGGTAGGGGGCGAAATGGCAACCTTGCATTTGTCCCTGTGTTTGAAATGGTAGACAGCCGAAAATGATTACCTATGACTGAATAAGTTTTTCTATTGGTAAAACAGAATTTTGCGGGTATTACCGGCCATAACTGCCGGTAAAAGTGATCACTAGGGCAGAGGGGTGGGGATCATTCTGGGGTGGGGGTCATTCTGCCGAAAGCGTCAAATTACCGACAGGGTCAAGTTACCGACACGGGTATGGCTGACGGAAATTCCCTAGACCATTTAAATGTGATGGCTCGTTTACAATAAAAACGTTCTGCTATTAATATAGGTTACGTTTTCCAGTGTCTGAAGGTTAAAAAACAGTTAATTTTACATTTTTTAATTAAAAAACTAATTTATCCGCGAAATGAGTAAGTGATAACAAAATTTGTGCTCATTATGTGGGATTACTCCAATTGCACAGTGAGTATTGCTCCAAATTAATTAATTCGTCAATTATTCATTAATGATTGCCCAAAAATAATCCAAATTAATTGGATTATTTTTTAGCAAAAAATAATAATTGGTAAAAAAAATTAGAATTCATCAATTGGATTAATTAATTTGCTTCAAATTAATAAATCCACAAATCATTAATTAATGATTGATTGGTCAATGTTCATCAGATATGATTTGCGATATTTCAGTCAGGAGACTGCTCCTTGGGCTGACTATGAGTATCAAAGTGTTGGGAGCTCTCCGTATATATCGCTAGTATCAGGTACTCCATCAGAACGTGAGGACGTGACGAGTACCTGAAACATGAGAAGTAGGGTGATGATACAACGTTGAATCCTGGGGAGACCCATCAGCACCTTCAGGACGACCATTTCGACCTTGGTCAGGATATGTGGACGTGGTGATATGTGGTGAAGTGAAAAATATTTAAAAATAAAAAAATTATTTGAAAAACGTGATTTTTTGAAACAAAATAAAATTTTTGAAGTAAATTTTATCAGCTACAATAAACTCTATTTTTGTAAACTCTATTATTTACAAAATAGACTCATAATTACTATAGTTATGAAATTAAAATTATTACTATTCATAAATTTGAATTGCCTAGAAAAGTTGATTGAATTTCCGTTAATTTTTTATTAGTTTTTATTAGTTTTCTATAAAAGTTTTACAATGCAATTTTTCCTCATTTTTTTCTTTTGATTTTTTTCATTGGAAACTGAAGTGAAAAAATCATGTCGACAATTTGTTATGAAGAATATCCTGAGAGGGAGAATTGTATAGAATGATGAAAATCTACTCATTTTCTCAATAAAATAGTTTCTAATATTATCTTCTATGAGAAAAAAAATGCGCAGGAAAACTATGGAATTCTTCAATAGAATTGTCGATTGAATTCATTAGATTTTGCTCTATAACATTTTTTCGTATGTGAATAAGGCATTATTTCAACCCTTTAGCTTCATAAGATGAAATGAAACGATATTTGTATGTTGCCTTGTACTTTTTGATCTGAATCACAGTCATGAGGCTGAGTAATTCGAAAATCATCCTCATCCTCAATAGCTCGACCAAAGTAGTACCCAACCAAATGACATTTATAGTATCGGAAGTGAATATTTACTAGAATAAATATTTTGTATTTAATAAATAAAAATGTATCTTCTGGCCAGTGCATAGGCAAGAAATTAATATGAATTTGCTAGTTATAGAAACAGTTCTTCTTCCTCTTCTGGCCCTCCGATTGACATGTGTAGTGGTCAACGATTTTTGGCATGGTTACAGCTTAATTGAATTCCGGGTTGACAATAATGGATATACATAAATAAACAACCTGTGTGACAAATGAATTACGGGAATAAATCAAATAGTTTGTTGCCGTTGTTTTTAGCAACATAGCAACGAACTATTTGTTTTATTCCCGCAATTCAGTTGTCAAACAGTTTGTTTATTTATGTATATCCATTATTGTCAACCCGGAATTCAATTAAGCTGTAACCATGCTAAAAATCGTTGACCACTACACATGTCAATCGGAGGGCCAGAAGAGGAAGAAGAACTGTTTCTATAACTAGCAAATTCATATTAATTTCTTGCCTATGCACTGGCCAGAAGATACATTTTTATTTATTAAATACAAAATATTTATTCTAGTAAATATTCACTTCCGATACTATAAATGTCATTTGGTTGGGTACTACTTTGGTCGAGCTATTGAGGATGAGGATGATTTTCGAATTACTCAGCCTCATGACTGTGATTCAGATCAAAAAGTACAAGGCAACATACAAATATCGTTTCATTTCATCTTATGAAGCTAAAGGGTTGAAATAATGCCTTATTCACATACGAAAAAATGTTATAGAGCAAAATCTAATGAATTCAATCGACAATTCTATTGAAGAATTCCATAGTTTTCCTGCGCATTTTTTTTCTCATAGAAGATAATATTAGAAACTATTTTATTGAGAAAATGAGTAGATTTTCATCATTCTATACAATTCTTCCGCTCAGGATATTCTTCATAACAAATTGTCGACATGATTTTTTCACTTCAGTTTCCAACGAAAAAAATCAAAAGAAAAAAATGGGGAAAAATTGCATTGTAAAATTTTATAGAAAACTAATAAAAACTAATAAAAAATTAACAGAAATTCAATCAACTTTTCTAGGCAATTCAAATTTATGAATAGTAATAATTTTAATTTCATAACTATAGTAATTATGAGTCTATTTTGTAAATAATAGAGTTTACAAAAATAGAGTTTATTGTAACTGATAAAATTTACTTCAAAAATTTTATTTTGTTTCAAAAAATCACACGTTTTTCAAATAATTTTTTCATTTTCAAATATTTGTCACTTCACCACATATCACCACGTCCACATATCCTGACCAAGGTCGAAATGGTCGTCCTGAGGGTGCTGATGGGTCTCTCCAGGATTCAACGTTGAATCATCACCCTATTTCTCATGTTTCAGGTACTCGTCACGTCCTCACGTTCTGATGGAGCAGCTGATACTAGCGATATATACGGAGAGCTCCCAACACTTTGATACTCATAGTCAGCCCAAGGAGCAGTCTCCTGGCTGCAATATCGCAAATTATATCTGATGAACATTGATCAATCAATCGTTAATTAATAATTTGTGGATTTATTAATTTGAAGCAAATTAATTAATCCAATTGATGAATTCTAATTTTTTTTTACTAATTATTTTTTTTTGCTAAAAAATAATCCAATTAATTTGGATTATTTTTGGGCAATCATTAATGAATAATTGACGAATTAATTAATTTGGAGCAATACTCACTGTTTGTGCAAATCGGAGTAATCCCACATAATGAGCACAAATTTTGTCATCACTTACTCATTTCGCGGATAAATTAGAGTTTTTTAATTAAAAAATATAAAATTAACTGCTTTTTAACCTTCAGACACTGGAAAATGTAACCTATATTAATAGCAGAACGTTTTTATTGTAAACGAGCCATCACATTTAAATGGTCTAGGGAATTTCCGTCAGCCATACCCGTGTCGGTAACTTGACCCTGTCGGTAATTTGACGCCTTCGGCAGAATGACGGGTAAGGGTCATACTGCTGAAAGGGCCAAATTATCGACTGGGCCAAGTTACCGACGGGGCGGCAATTTTGNCTTCGGCAGAATGACGGGTAAGGGTCATACTGCTGAAAGGGCCAAATTATCGACTGGGCCAAGTTACCGACGGGGCGGCAATTTTGATATGAAGGCCGACTTACGCTAGAAATGTCACTTTTTCATTCAATAGGTTACGTTTCCCAGAGTTTGGAAATGAAAAACATTTTAATTATTATTTTCAATTCACAACCTCTAATTGATCAGTGAAAGTAATGAGTGATGCCTAAAATTAAGCTGAATATATGGAATCACGACAATT